AAAAAATACATTTAATTATTTTTAAACTTGTTTTTATTAGTTATTTAATATTAAATAATAACCGCTAACTATTGTATAACCAAATAATTATATCTATCGAATCCGCTATCCATTTTTCGTTATCTGTTATCCACTATTCATTAACCACTACCCCCTGCCCGTTATCCACTATTTACCACTCGCTATCCACTATCTACTACTTGTTATCCGTTATTCGCTGAATTTTAACCACTATACAAAATAAATCTTAAATTTTTAATTTGCTTACAACTCTACTCCTTAAAAATGGTTTGTGACTCTACTCTTCGAACCCTAAATTTATAATTTTTCTTAAAATAATATTTTGATTTTCTAATTAAACCTTAAAGAAGCATCATTTCAGAATTCTTAAAACTTCATAATAAATTTATTCTTGATATTTAGCTATTCTTGAATGTTTGATTGAAAAGTTTTAAATCTTAATTATGAATGCTTTTAATCAATACTAGTAATATTCATTTTAAATTTTATTCACTTTTAACATAATTTGAAAGATAAGATTCATGGTGCATTAAATAAAAAAAAGACTAGTTTTAACATTTAAAAATTATTTTATTTAATTTGTACTTGAAATTTATAGTAATTTTTTTATTATTTTAATGTCTCGCTACACCACTTTGGGTTCAGTGGCCTCATGCAAATAGGATAGACTGCAAAAAGCATATCAAGTTAAATTTTTGTAAGAGAACCAGATAATTGGTTGTGCGTTAAAAATGGACTACGCCTTAGCTGTGCCAAGAAGGACCTTCATGCGAGCATCCCAAATAAGATATCCTTGCTGACGCATAAATCCATGAAGCCATTGTTCTAAATTTCCATTGTTAACATACTCATAAACCAAGATCCTGCAATTTTAAATTAAACACGACTACAAACTCTGTTAATAGATAATAACATCATTGGTATATAGTTAACAATTTAAGTAAGCTACCCCCAAAATATTCACGCACGACATGACTCTGTTAATAGATAATAACATCATTGGTATACGCCTGTCCTGAAGTGCAAACGTCGGTACCGCTCACAACTACCATGCGGAATAATAATAGCCATCTGATGCAGACTCATCCTGATCCACTCCAGGACAAGAGTCCAAATTCACCTGATCAGCCCGGCCCAGTTTAAAACTTTTGTTGGGCCCCATTTTTCCACAAAGCCCCAATCCATTCACATGTGGGCTGCTGCTGCTTGGGCTCAGGCCCCTAGGAAAAGTACTAACATGTGGGGTGATAGTATTTTGCCGTAATGTACATAACATTATGTTGGTCCTGACTTCTCCTTTCACCCCCCGTTACAATTTGGGACGTCCAATTAATGGTTTTGGGTGATTAAGAGAAAGAATTGTCACAATTAAAATATCAAAAATGGTAATAATAAAATTTAAATATTTTGAGCTCCATATGCTTCTACCTAGCGGTGGTTAAGACGCTTGATTAATGGCGATTATATCCAGTGAGTTGTGCTTATGAGCCCATAGAATCTTCTTTCTTTAATCTCCATATATACCTGAATATATAT